GAAATTTTGTGATTGCAACTCCTCTTAAACCGGATGGCAGATTTTGCTTAAACTTCCAGGGATTAACAACCTTAATGTGTAGATGGTAGTAAAGGTAGGAATTTTTGCTGCGACCAAGTTTAACAGAATTATGGCCCTTTGTTGATTTTTAGTTTTCAACTTGTGGCACATGTAGTCCAAAAAATATTTGACCTAGAGTCATAAGATTGACAGAACAGTGGTGTGTGTGGGCATCCGTGTCCTATGGACACATTTCTAGTTTTTATTTAATTTGTTATTCGTGTTTAGTAAAGGCCGAGGAATTATTCAAAGTTAAAATTAGATTTTATTAATTATTTAATTGATTGATAATTTAAAAAATGATAAAGAAAAATACAAATGTACATGTACATGGTTTAAGAATAAACAATATTATATATTGAAAGATTAACCATAATTTACTGACTTTTTCCAGTTAAGTTTTGACTTATAATCATCGTTATAATATGACAATTGAATTCTTAAAAATTATTTTACAATTTTAATAAAAAAGAGTAGTAAACGTAAAAAACTCAGTATTAAAATAGCACATAAAAACACAAAAAAGAGAGGAAAACAATATTTATAAAATCTGTATTTTTGTTATTAAAATAGATATTACAATTATTGTATAATAAACAATAATGCTCAACATGACATGGTAATATTACCAGTGTCATATTTTTACTAAGTGTGAACAGATACCTTAAGAGGGTGTCTTCGCTAATAGCGATTACATAATAAGGGACAATTCCACAAGTGTGGTGTTGATCATGCGTTACACATATGGATTATAAATGATTGTATACATGTATATCCGTTGCTATTAATAATCACGATCATAAAGAAATAACAAGTAATATTCTTATCTCTAGCATGCCAATCAAAGTTCATAATGAACAATGTCTTCCGTCCGTTAATTCTGGTAAAAACCAAAGTTTATAAGAATATCTTGACATCATATGTCTACTAGTTCATTTTCACTTTCTGCATTTCTTGCTTGGACGCCTTTTGATGCTTTGCATCAATGCTTTTCTTGTAATATCAATTATATGTACATCAGCAGATAGAAATGGACAGAATGACCCTTTTGAACTCTATCACAAATTTACTGTGTGTTTTCATATCTTAAAATCTATAAATAGCAGATAAGTTCACACTTGTACTCACACTTAAAGAATATTTGGCACAGGTTATATCAATGTTTTAGACTTTAATTGCACAGATGGTTTTAAGACAACTTGAAAATGCCATATTGTTTGTTGACAGTAAACTTTTGGTCAGTAATGAGAAAAACACTGTGCCAAACTGGTCTATAGATGGTACATGTAATTTGTCATACTATGAGCAGAACTGTTGTTCTGTGAATTTACAGTAAATTAATTCAACAGTGTATTTATACACAGATAGTATGTTACTATCAAAACTTTTAAGTTTTATTGAAATCTATGAGTTGTTTTAATATGTTGTCTTTAATAAAAAAGGATAGGCGCTTTTAACCTGGTTGAATATTTTATTTTAAGCCAACAATAGACTCTTATTGTAATTTCTACCTAAATAACAAAAGAGTTGTGGCCCTTGACTTTGTCAACATTTCTTATGGCAAATTCTTGTTTTTGCAGAAATAGAAACATATTTTTCAGTGACCAGTTGATATTTAAGATTCTTAAACTAAAATATCAAATATCTGTTAACTTTTTTTTTCAATTAAAATTTGAGACTTACGATTATGAATAGAGATCATGGAATGTTATTTGAATTTATGTATGGAATTTGATACAGGACTTTCCAATATCATTTATACACTTATAATTCATTCTTACCTATATAGAATATGATAAATGGCTGAATGAAAAAATAATTGATTCAAACATTTGGTCACTTAGGCACGTCACTCAGATCAAAAGTCTTGCTGTTAAAATATTAGCGGATCGTACTGTCAATATTGAAAGTGTCGATAAATCCCTACACTACGCATGGTTATTTATATATATAGATAGACAGTTTTTGTGGACATTTATATTTGACCTATTTACTCCCAATTATAATATATCAAATGATTATATTTTATATAAAGTCAATATAAATATTTTAGACCTATTGGCAAGGACAACATGTAAATGATTGTATAGGAAAGATGATTGAAAAGGGTAGATGATATAGGAAGATGATTTTAACTTATTATTCTTGAGACCTGCATGAAAACTTAGCATTTATTTCATATTTTAATTACCTTTATTAAACTAAACTGATAAGAAGTAAGTTTCATTGACAATCCCACTAAATTTGTACAATAGATTTGTCTTACATTGAAATTGGATGTTAAAGGGATATCATTATTAAAATACCATAACTTATGATGCAGGTTTCGGTCAGACTGGTAATAGGAAGAGCATCGAAACACGAGGCTATCTGATTTGTACGAGGGGGCGTAGCCCCCGAGTATTAATCAGATTGCCAATTGTTTTGATGTTCTTTCTCTTTTGTATCATAGTCAAACATAAAAACAAGTTCCCTGTTGTTACAATATCAAACCCCGGCTAAAAGGAACCAATGAACGAATATCTGAATATGATATTTCTGTCGCTTTCCCTTTCTCTGCCGTCACAATATGTAAACACCAACAAAAATGAGCCAATCAATGGGCATGCTCTGGAGTGCGGGTAACTAATACCTGCACTCCAGTTAAAGCACTGTGCATGTATATGAATACTATTTAAATCTGACAGAAAGGTCCCCAAACTATGATACAATATAGATATATTGGATGGTTTGGCTTAGCATTATTACATACTTTATGTACACAATTAGCTTTAAGAATTCTATTTTTCCTTATCATGATCAATGCTTTAATCTTAAGTCCTGCTGCTGGTTTGTAGATCGAAAGGAAGATTTTTTTAAGCATTTATTTTCTGCAAAATTGCTAAACTGGCAGTTTAATGACAAAATTTAGGATTCCACTGCATACCTCTTTAATGTTTGAATTTTATTCCTGAACAAGTTCTGCTTCATTAGAACAAAATATTTTTACCAAAATATTGAAACAAATGAATTTAACTTTTTCGTATATTGGAACAGGACATCATATAACTAAAACATTTGATAAATGAAAATATTAGCACTGTAGGAACATAATGAGCTTTTAACCATGTGACCTGTGATGATCAGACCAAGATCAATTGGCACATCCTGGCTGTCTGATCATGGTCTAAACTGATCACTTTTAAGTAATTACATATTTTGTAATTTTCCCTATAGTCCATATTGAAAGATGGACACATCTATTTAAAATATTTACAAGTAGTAGAAACATTACACACGACCTGTTATGATATTAATTATTGTAAACAGTTACATATACTAATACTGGCTGGCGATAGTGAAACCACTTTTGAACTATAGGACTAGACCCATTTGTACTAATTGTACTAAGGGTTGAGATATTGAGCTATTAATTGAATATCATGACCAATATTTCCCCTCTTGTTGAAAAAGTTCTTGGTTTGGATTAGCATCATTTTCACATTTTTATCCAACTTAATGTAAAAATAAGGCAGACACTTAGCTGAGACATAAAGACATTGATTTTGACTAGCAACTACCTGAAGAACTATACATGTATATAACTTGTATTCCCTAATGATTCAAATTAAACACATAATAATAACTGACTGACATGATGATTGCTTGCATTCTGTTGGTTATGATTTCTAGTATATATAAACATAATGCTAAAATAACCTGACAAAATATTACGACAGGAAAATCTGTGACGCTTAATATTCCATTGAATATTGTAGCATTTTGTAAAGAGCAGAATAGATTTTTTGTAGCAATTAACACTGAGAAAAGATCAATTCCTTTCCATTAAATAGGGCCTTTGTGATGAAAATTGATATTTCATGTTACAAGGGACTTCAGTCATAACAATTGCTTAATTGGTATAGATTTTATATGATTGAAATGTTTGAAAGAATGATTAAAGAGGTTTCCTTATTTGAATAACCAATTGCCAATTTTATTACTGTATAAATGGCAAAGTATAAAAGCATATAGAAATGAAAGATTACAAAACCTGGCCTTGAGAATAGTACAATTATCAGAAGTTGTATCATTTGTGTATGAAATTTTAATTACCTGGTATATATTACGTTTTCATACAGTTCTTGTTGATTGGTACAGTTGTTCCTTTTTTTGTTCAAATGAAAAATTCATTGTCTAATTTAATGTGTTTGGGGGAATCAGTTTTGTAAATTGATTTTTTTTTCAAATTCAGTATATTGTAAATTGAAATATAATGGCCTGGAATAAAAGATTTGTAGTTTCACAATTGCATCATGAGGAAATACAAATTTTAGTTTGACTGTTCAAAGAATAGGGGGAGCTATAATACTCATCAAGTGGTTGGCGTTGGCATCGGTCTAGGCGTCACACTTTGATTTTAAGTTTTTGTGTGCAAGTTGGTATCTTGAATTCAAAACTACCGAAGGGAAATAGTTTGAAACTTCACACACTTATTTGAGAGCATGATATGAAGTCACTATCCAAGGCCAATAACTTTAACATGGATTTTGACAGAATTACGGCTTCATTTTCCAGGCTTTTGTTTTACTATCAAGCTCTGAGAATAGTTGTTATACCAACAGCTCTTGTTAACTCAGATTTTCTAAAAATGAAAATTACCAGATTGTTTATGTCATTCTGGTAAAATGTATCATTCTTCATGATGATTGTGTAAAGTTGTATTCAATTTATTACTGAAAGTGCAAGCTAGTTGGAATTCAACTTAAACTTGGCGCATAATAGCATTAGCGATACAACCTATTTAGCATTCTGCTGCAATATTCCTTCTATATATACACAGTCAAACAAAATTATGTTACATTGATTGGGGGTAAGTTTCATATTCATGAAGCTCTTTAAGTGTTATATAAGACATTCTGTATTTTGTTTTATCAAGCCTGTGTTTATGATATTTTCAGGAGGATTTCCTGGCCACAGATGACCTGTTTGTAGAATACTTCAATGTCTTCCTTGCCCTACCGGTAAGTATCAGTATTTTATTTTATCCATACCAGTACATTTATGATATTTTTCATCAAAGGATATTGCATGTAGTACTTGATTATCCACAACTTTAATATGATTGTCTACTTAAGTAATTTTAATTTAACATGATATGTAAAGATAAGACATTATTTGATACAAATATTTATTCTTGTCTTGCAAATAGTACAGGCTAACATTTATGCAGCTGTGCAGTTTATTTGATTTTAGTTTCTGATTATTTTGACAAACATATCCACACAATTTGCAAGCTCTGTTAACAAAGTATCATGAGTATAATGGTATTATTCCTCCCAGCTCTAAAAATTATACACTGCTTGGGAAAAATTCCAATATATATGAATTATTTCACAATTCTTGTTCTAGGATAACATGCCCTGATTTAAGTTCATTAAGTTTTAAAATTCTCTTTGACTTACATAAAGAGCCATGGCTGCTTTCTTCATCATTAAACGTTAGACAAATTGTAAAATACATCAAAACTTAAAAAGTGTGCTTTATTAGATGAAGGTTGGAATTTAAATTCAGGGTTGGTCTTATAAAACCAACCAGATTTGTTTTTTCATTGGCTTATAAACTTTAAAGTCAGTGAAATAATCTTGATTCTAGTCAAAGAGTATAAAATGAATGTGAATCCGTTCATTGAACCATATTTATCATTTTATCATGAATAAATTCTTTGTATTTGATTATTCATATTATTTATGACATTCTCGAAAGATAAACATTTTTTTGAAGTGGTAATCTTAACAGGCTTCTTAAAGATCACATCTGTTTATTTAGTATACAAAATATCAAGTGCCATAAACTTTAAAAGTGTTGGAAATATTTGTCTTTATAAATAATTTAAATTTGTTTCTGCTCTTGACTTGGTAATCTTTTATACATCCTTAGAAACCAATACAAATATAAACTATGGGATATTGTTTATGTTTAAAGACCAGACATGACCTTTTTATTTGCACAAAAGTTTCCTGGTTTAAAATTAAACATTTGAAATAGCAATATGTAGATGTGTAGCTGTGAGGCCATGCCTGCATGTTCTTTAACTCTTTGAATATCTGTGGCACTAAATTATTAATTATACAACTGAACAGTTTTGAGTCTCTGGTCTGTCTACAATACTGTGCATAAATATGTGACAAGACTTCATACTGTTGGTTAATTTATACAAATTGATTGTATATTGTAGTTTGATTGTATTGAAGCTGTAAGTTTATTGAAACACTCTCGAATCCGTTCCTTGAACCAGCCAGTACTAAGCAATGGTTGTTAAGTTTCTTGCTCACAGAAACAACGGCTTGCCTCTGACGGGGTTTGAACCTGGCATGGCCATGCATAGTTTGAGCAACTTGTCCCTTAAAATAATGAAGGCCTGTTTCAAATTCTTAGTACATTATATCCATTACATCTAGAATAGCAGGTTTAAGATAAATAACTTAAATGCTAGACTCATTCTTAAAATATTCTGTGAGCTGCATTTACCAAATTTGATCTGACAGATTTTTATTTAGTTGTCAAAATTATTTACCTACCTCCATACATTGGGAATAATATGGCCTTGTACATTTGTCTGCAGTGTAATTAATATTTTATGTTATATAATACCATAGTTCATGAAAGTAAAACACATTATCTGGTCCTTAATTGTAAACCTATTGAAGATTTATTTGTAATTTTGATTCACAATAGCAGCAAATCTGATCATTGACATATCCAATATCACTATATCTTTACTAATGATATTTTTTATGTTTAAACTATTTGAATCACAAGTGTCATAAAAAAATTCTTGTAGGGAAACACACAGATTAAAAAAAAATTTAATTCAAAAGATGTTATGTAAAAGTGAACATTAAAATAGCTTTAATATGATATACTTAACATTCTTTCTGCAGGGGTATGTCAAATTGTTACCTCAATACAACATATGATTCTTGTTGCTTTTGAATTAGGTAAATTAATTATATATTATAATCAAAATTAAATCAACTGTGAATGAAATGTTATTTTTAATACACTAAATGTACCATAAGTAATATAAACTTAAGGAAAGTTAACTAAATTTAACAAAACTACCGGTATAGTATAATAAGAACATTTATTGCAAAAATCAAACCGAATGAACAAACGTTTTAACTTTGATTCATTTAATTAAGAGAGACAGGTATAAAAGCACAGTGTTTAAACTAATTGAAATGTTTGATGTTTTGAAATTATTCTCAATTGCTGAATTTAAAGACATTTGTCAAATTCACATCTGAAAACATCAAAGTTAGCCAATTACAACATAGAGCCTTGCAGTGGGAGGACATTTGGAAATGTTTGCCAAAAACTTTACTCTTAATGGCATAACTGAATAAAAATGCTACCAAGATTTTTAAATCCGATTGATATAAGTTTTTTTATGAATTGATAAGATTTCAATTTAAATCCCTTATTAACATAATCTGTATTACACGGTGTATGACACACAATGAATTTGCGTAAGTTTGTATGACTTTTATTTACAAATCCAATTTATTGAATACATTAAACCATGTGAAATATCAGATGCTTGAGTAATTTTCACAAGTTTTTTTTTCATTTTATTATCATGAACATTTAATAAAATAAAGGTCAATGTCACTTATGTATGAATGCCAATGTTTATAGTGAAAAATGAAACACATAATTAGGAATTCAAATATTGAAAAAAATAATTAATAATTCAAATGAGATAAAACTTTATGGATCACCTGACTTGTAAAAACAAATGTTATATTATGTAGAAATATTGCTAGATTAATAGTTTATGACATTTTAAGAATACATGCATGTCAATATTAGCTTATGATAAGAATTTATTGCCTTGAACCCTGAAATAAGTATACATGTAATACTTTCTCTATCACAGTACATGTACTACAATAAATGCTTTAACGATCTCTTAAATATCATAATTTATTTGATTACCAGTTTTGAAGGTTGAATATTTATATTTTATGTTTATTTAGACGTTTCCGGAGCCCCTGTATTTTAACAAGGAAACAGGGGGTTTTGAAGTGGTCAGTGTTGCCAAAAAAGAGCTTGCTAAAAAGATCAAAGAGGCACTTCGGTCACAGGCGCGAACTCCTAGGATCTACAGGGTTGCTAAGAAGCACAGCTACATTGATATACCCTTGATACCAATAGAAAATGAGAAGGAACCAGAAAACCAGGAGATTCACACCAGCTTTGCTGTCACTGTAAAACAATTTGATAATAATAATCTTTGTTTACATGTTTCATAAATATGGGTTTGCCACATGTTACTAAAGTGTAAAAAATAGAATCTCTAAAGAACACTGTGGTGGTGGTAGGGGATTAATTTAAACATAGAATAACTATGAAACACTGCAGAAAAGAACATTGGTTTAAAGTTTTAATTATGGTAGATTAAAATAAATCATTGTGATTATGATTATCATTGTTTACACTGTCATTAATGTTAAACATATTAAGAGAGAGAAATGTCTCACAAGTAAGACAAAGGTCTGAGGTCATAAAGTTTACAGTTTAAAGGTTAAGAATTAGGTCTTTTTTGTGTCTTGGCTGTCTGATAGAATATTATAATGATTTGACATTAGAGGCCATCACAACAAGGTGATATGTCACCCTTAAAAAGCGAAAAGATACTGCCTCAATGTTCAAACAGTTCATTCCCATATAGATATATCTGGGCCATCTGTATGTTTAAGGACAGAATTCTCGTTAACTTGAGAATTGAAATAAGACATTTGAGCCGCGTCACGACAAAACCAACAAAGTGCGTTTGCGACCAGCATGGATCCAGACCAGCCTGCACATCTGCGCAGTCTGATCAGGATCCATGCTGTTCGCTTACAAACCCTATAGCAAGTAGAGAAACTGATAGCAAACAGCATAGATCCTGATCAGACTGCGCGGATTCGCAGGCTGGTCTTGATCCATGCTGGTCGCAAACCCATTATGTTGGTTTTGTCGTGACGCTGCTCATTTCTACCATTCTTTTCTCTATATAACTTCTTCAGATACGATATTGATATATGTTTATTATGAGACACTTCTCTTTAATTGATTACTTTTGCTTAGAAATCAACATATACTATAGATGTTGCTAGTTATCCATTTAATAGATTTTGCAGAATTGACATATTATATTTGCATGTCTTGAAATATATCATACATAAAAAATGATTTTTGTCTGCTTAAGTTTGAATTATCATTATGGTTAATTATTTCCTTTGATTATTTTCAGACATTAAATAAAGAACAAGGTATTCACTGGGTGAAGGCTGAAAGGTTACCATCATTTTTGGACAGTGATTTATACCTGGAATACCGACTGTCCAAATTGTTAGGTCAGTCCAGGATCACAGGAGAACAAGGGGAATATGTCCTAATGAAGATTGATTATAAACCTAGACCTAAAAAGGTAGGACTTTCATGAAGCCTAGGCATATAAGTATTTTGTATGAGAAATCTAGATGTAAAAGTCTCTTATATTATTGAAGAGTATGTCATACATAAAAATCTAGACTTAAAAATGTCATACATGAAACCTTTACCTAGTAAGGCATGACATGTTGATCAAATCTTTAACTTCTCTACAGATTGATTCTTGGTTTATATCAACTATATTTATCATAAATTAAGCAATTTCCTTGGTATTCTGAATTTTGATTTAAGGTCAAGGTCATAATGTGAAAAAGGTAAAAAAATGGGTTGTGAACAATTCTTTGAATGTATATGATATATTGAAAACTTCAAATTGTTATGTTGCCTATTTTCTTGTTTAGTGGCTCATGTTATATTATGAAATGTTTCTAATGCCTTGATTTTTATCTAAAGATAAAGAAGAAATCTGATGATGACGAAGTAAAAATTGACCCGAAGGAGGCATTGATGAAAGATTTGTATGTATGTATGGGTAATGCCAGCACGACTGACACCGATGCCTGGTACTCTACAGCAAAGATAGCCACACAGAATGAGACGACATACACGTCACCTTCACGTCCGACTAGCGAGAGAGTCAAATCTGCTGCCAGTACACGTCCCACTAGTGCTCGACCCACTAGTGCTTATAGTGACCCATATAACAGGTCAGATAGTGGACTTGGCATTTCCTGGAAAGGCTCGGCAAAAAGTACAAAAAATAGTTCCTACAGCACTTTATACCATTCCAAATATAGTCAGCATGAAACTGAAGACGATGTAATGATGAGTAAACTATTTGCTAGCGACGGTAAACCTGCCCACCGCATAACAGATAATTTATGTGTAGTTAATAAGGACAGACCATATAGTTCTATAATATATTCAACACCTAAATCTGAACTAGAATTAAAATCAGACGATGCTGAATTAGGAATAATTGATGATGATGAAAAAGACTCAGGTAAAGGTGACGATGAAAACATAGACATGAATGATAGTCTTGCATTAGATTCAGAACCTATTGTGTTTAAGAATATAGATGATTTAGGTTCTGTTATCGTGGGGGTTGTTTTAAAGAAAGCTGTTGGACAGTTGGCAAACCTTGATGAAGCAGAATTAGAAAAAATCCCTGAAATATATGAGCTCTTCCCTGAAGGCCAGTTTTCAAAGCTTACAGTTGATTCATTGGATAGAGTTACACTTATTGAAGAAAGCAAAGAGGAGAAACCAGTAGGAACAATAGAACAAGAGACAGAACAGAAGATAAGTGAGAGGATGAAGAAGAACATGGAGGAGGAGAGTGATGTGGACTCGTTGTTGGACAGTGAGGAGGATTATGAAGAAGAGGACACTTTCTTCAGGAAACACAAATTTAAAACATACAGTCTGTGTACCAGGAAAGGTGTGGACCAGTTTAAAAGATTCTTGAAAGGCACAATGGGTGAGAAGAACTGGAATCTGTGGATAGATGTTGATAGGATGAGATTGATGACAGTACACAGTGAAATACAACTGTATGTATACAATACTAGTACATATACAAATAATTAACTATATCATATACTGTTCATATAAGCTTCATTCTGATTGGCTATTAATCGTTGTTGTCACAAGTCAGCAAAAATATGTTTAGACCGCTAAAAGATTTGTGCACCTGATGTTTTATTAAGGCGTGATATTCTTTCAGAAAGATAAACATATACTCTATTATAACCAGTGGTTTATAATATAATGATTATACATTTGTGTTTTGGTCAATATAAAATTTTTCTGACCTGATAAAGGTTATATTGACCTCGGACTATCGTCTTTGACCTATGTAACTTTTCTCAGGTCCATTGAAATACTAATATAGACTTGGCATTCTATAATTTTATAATATCATCAATGGTATAAATTTCTTTATTAGAAATTATTATATTTCTCTTTATGGAAATAGCATTTATAATAGCTTTGATAACATTATTTCTGTGAGTTTTTAAAACTAGGAATTATTGATCTGTTATGCCCTATTCTCTGGATGCTTACAAGTCTGGTTGATTTATTTCTCTAATGTAAGCTAGATTTCATAGAGTTTACCAAAGTTAACAATTTATGATGATATTAAGAGAAGTGTGTAAAATTGTTGTCTAGTAACACTGTTAGTAATATCATCATTATTTTAATTGAATTTAATTTGTTTCATGCAGCAATGTGTGCTGGTTACGAGAAAAGTACCACAAACCAGGTGCAGAGTTTGAGCTGACAGTAGAGCAGAAGGCACAACTAGGTCTGTCAGAACCATCTGCTTGGACCATGGATAAACTCCTGGCAGTACATAACCAAATTGCTGAACCTCTTGTTCTCTACTGGTATGTAAAACAGTTGAAGTTACATTAAGAATTATCTTTTCCTGATATGACTTAAAAGTAAGTTATTGATAAGCAGTAACTTCAGCAGATAACTACAGTGTAATATGGGTTTATTGCTGAAATAATAGTAAACTTTTTTCACATCGTCACATATTTTGGTGCATTTCATTAAATCTATATCTGGAAAACTTGAACATTCTAATCAACTGACAGAGCTGTCTTACATACTGTTTGTCCACAGGTTCTAAATGGTGTAAATCTTTTCTTTTTAAAGGGCACCTAGGTTTTTGTTGAAGCAAATGATGAGAACAAATCCGGACAAGAACCTTCTATATCATCACCTGAAACACCTCAAACACTCGGTAGCTGTGGATCCAAGCCCTCCTACAGCATCACTTCTACCACTTAGGCCAAAATCATGTCTTCCAAGAATGAAACCCCAAGAGCCAGTGATAGCACCACAGGTTGGTAAAAGAGGACAATTCTTGATAATTAGTATTAAAAAGTTTTAATGGTCCCCTTGATTGGTAATTAACCACAGCAATATTTATACCCCCACAAACGAAAAACGAAGTTTAGGGGGGGTATATAGGAGTCAGCTTGTCGGTCGGTCGGTCGGTTGGTCGGTCGGTCGGTCGGTCGGTCCGTCGGTCGGTCCACATCATGGTTTCCGGACGATAACTAGAGTTTGGAATGAGGTATTGTAATCAAACTTGGTATATAGCAACCTTATGTGAAAACTCTGGTTGGTATTGCATTTGGACCCCCTGGGGTCAAGGTCAAGGTCACCGTTACTAAAAATAGAAAAATGGTTTCCGGACAATATCTAGAGTTAGGAATGAGATATTGTTATCAAACTTGGCGTATAGCAAGCTTATATGAAGACCTGGGTTGGTATTGCATTTGGGCCCTCTGGGGTCAAGGTCAAGGTCACTGTTACTAAAAATAGAAAAATGGTTTCCGGACAATAACTTGACTTAGGAATGACATACTGTAATCAAACTTGGTGTATAGCAAGCTTATATGAAGACCTGGGTTGGTATTGCATTTGGACCCCCTGGGGTCAAGGTCAAGGTCACCACTAGGAAAAATAGACAAATGGTTTCCGGACAATAACTAGAAGGGGGGGTATATAGGAGTCAGCTTGTCGGTCGGTCGGTCGGTTGGTCGGTCGGTCGGTCCGTCGGTCGGTCCACATCATGGTTTCCGGACGATAACTAGAGTTTGGAATGAGGTATTGTAATCAAACTTGGTATATAGCAACCTTATGTGAAAACTCTGGTTGGTATTGCATTTGGACCCCCTGGGGTCAAGGTCAAGGTCACCGTTACTAAAAATAGAAAAATGGTTTCCGGACAATAACTAGAGTTAGGAATGAGATATTGTTATCAAACTTGGCGTATAGCAAGCTTATATGAAGACCTGGGTTGGTATTGCATTTGGGCCCTCTGGGGTCAAGGTCAAGGTCACTGTTACTAAAAATAGAAAAATGGTTTCCGGACAATAACTTGACTTAGGAATGACATACTGTAATCAAACTTGGTGTATAGCAAGCTTATATGAAGACCTGGGTTGGTATTGCATTTGGACCCCCTGGGGTCAAGGTCAAGGTCACCACTAGGAAAAATAGACAAATGGTTTCCGGACAATAACTAGAGTTAGGAATGAGATATTGTAATCTAATTTGGTGTAAAGGAAGCTTATATGAAGACCTGGGTTGGTATTGCATTTGGACCCCCTAGGGTCAAGGTCACCGTTACAGTGTTACTAAAAATAGAAAAATGGTTTCCGGACAATAACAAGAGTTAGGAATGAGAAATTGTTATCAAACTTGGCGTATAGCAAGCCTATATGAAGACTTTGGTTGGTATGGTATTGCATTTGGGCCCCCTGGGGTCAAGGTCAAGGTCACCGTTACGAAAAATGGTTTTCGGACAATAACTAGAGTTAGGAATGAGATATTGTAATCTTATTTGGTGTATAGGAAGCTTATATGAAGACCTGGGTTGGTATTGCATTTGGACCCCCTGGGGTCAAGGTCACTGTTACAGTGTTACTAAAAATAGAAAAAAGGGTTTCCTGACAATAACTAGAGTTAGGAATGAGATATTGTAATCAAACTTGGTGTATGTGTATAGCAAGCTTATTTCGAGACCCCAGTTGCGATTACAATTAATTGAAATATTTCTTTGTACACAGTTGATAGTTTGTGTTCAAATTTTTCTTCAGACTACTTTTTTTTTCAAAAAGTCAAAGTTGTTGGTGGGGGTATTAATCACCTTCAGTGATAGGTCTAGTTTCATTTATATTCATAAGAAAAAGTCACTAAATTTTATTCAGTGGGAATAACTGACTGATGTTGTGTTTATATGAGCATAAATCGTCAGTAATCATTGGTCAGTATTTCACGTGTTCATGATTCAACATAGCTCTCGGATAAAGTCAAGTTTTCAGTGTGACGTCACACCCTGTTAGTAATATTTGGAAATATTCTTGTATAGTGTTTTTGTTATATAATAGTGAGATATTTTTGTTGCATTCTGAGTAATATATAAATATTCTCTATTTTAACTAGATGTATGATTTAAAAGATATTCATGTCGATTTGTAGAAAACTTTGAAAACTGGTAAATGAAATTCACCATATTTAGTTTAGTAAATTGGTTACATTTGAAAATATTTTAGTCAAGTTTTTAGTTAAATTTGAAAACCTGAAGTTAGGCATAAAAGGCATGGTAATGTTTAGTATTGTATATTTCATCCTTTTGATTGTACTTAAATCCATAAAGTAACCTTTGAAATGTGATAAAAATTTCCATTTTCTATGAAACTTAAAGCTGGGTATTTATGATAGATTGTACAAACAAAATGGCTAAAATTGGAGGCTACAAAATTTTATTACACTGCATTAAAGGATTTCACATGCCTTCTGTTTGATACTGATATAAAATTTAATTAGATTGGAAAATTGGCAAAGACTTCGTGAACTTCTCTTTTCCCATCAAAGCTTGGGACATTAAACTTAAAGATTTTTCTTTTGAATACATTTTCTTTCTTTCATTTTGGTCATTATTTAGGCACTTTGTTGTTGTTGAAGTTCTTAAATGAAAACAGGAAAGTTTTTTATTTAAGTCTTTAAATATATAATATATGTCTTTATATATTTTGACTGGCAAGACCAAAGGTAACAAAGATTGCTATGGTTTACCTTGATAAAAACTAGTCAATACCCGTAGGTAAAGCTGGGTATTGATACTGGATGGTGATTTAGTATCACTTATTTTTCATTGCTGATAAAAGTTATTTATATAAAAGTTAACACTTCATATTATACGACTAATTTTTACCTACACAGAATTTACCTGATATGACTGTCATAATTTGGTTTAATGATGCCATATATAGAATTCTTAATAAGAACATTGCTGTCTACAAATTCATTTAGCTAAAACATGTATATGGCAGGAAAACTGTTGGAATTTGGTGTCATACGGTTTTGCATGACAAAATATGGATTAGGTGTGTCATGTGTCAAATCAATGCAAGAACTTTATAAGATTTCGTAATTTTGGTTTTAATCCATTTCAACATTGTATATATTGAATGGATGTATATCATGTACTGTGTATATTTATGAATAAAATACATTTAAACTAAATCAGTGCTATAAATCACAAGTAGTCATATAAACCATTTGATGACCATTGTTATTACAGATTCAGCCTATTTATTTCGAGCCCCCAGAGACACTTGATACCTCTCCACCTGTAGGTTTAAGAAGAACATATGCAGAACCAACCATGAAGTTTATAGCCAACTGGCAGAAAGAACAGATGGTTCACACACAGCTGATCTCTCCACGCCTCAATGTGGCTCGCACCTCTACACCAAGGTTGAGAAGACCTGCATCAGCTAAGTAAGTCTTGGCAACAAATACAAAAAAAGTTTTCTTATTTTAATTGGAGAAATAAGAACCCCAATATTCTCCACTGTACATACATCATGCATTCAAGCTTAGCAGGCTGGATGGTTCTGGCATCCTACATTAAGCTAGTTGACCAGGATATTTGAACTATTCTTGAGTCTGCCTTCCGGAACTATCTAGAACTGGTGTCATATCATGAGGATTCATGTTTGTTACCTAATAGTTTTGGAGAGGTAGACCACTTAATATTTTAGTCAACTCTTCCACTTTTTTAGCTTTAGGTATGAGGGTAATTCAAAGTTAAGAATTGATATCATTTGATCATAAAGTTGACAATCATACTTTTAAGGAAGAGAGTAAGTAAACATCAAGTACATATCAGCCCCTTTCTACAAAATACATGCGCGATTTAAGCAACACATGAAAATAACAATAGCAGCCATTACATGTACATAATTTTATAGTAGGCTGATGATTTAACAAGTTTCCCTGTATTTCAGGATACCAAGAAGAACATCACTTGTGTCATTGTCATCAAGACCCAAGTCTGCTGTTAGACTTGGTACACGCCCATCTACTGCTAACTCAACATCTTCTAGAATATCTGTAGAATCAGCCACCGGGCGTGTACGTATAAAAACACCAACTCATAGTTTAACGAAAACACCATCCAAGATGTCTGATACTCCAAGATCTAGGCCATCCTCGGCTGCTTCAAGTATACGTTCAGTCAGGTAAGTGTATACATTATATATCACAGATAATGATTAAGTTGTGGAAAGTCAGGACCACCCTACAATTATGCATTTTATAAAATAAAATCAGAAATGGTTTTGTAAAACATTTGGCTATTTCATTGTTGTATATTGGACATTGTGAGACATTTGTACATGTATATTGGTGTCCTTCTTAAAGTTTTTCTTGAATCATCTTAAAGCAGTATATTGAAAGTATAATAATCTAAATCAATTATTTTGTTGCATGAAATATTGATATATCCGCAAAGACTAGTCAGACATTGAACCAGTGGTTAACAACTTTTGTGAAAATTTAGTCTTTATACTAAAAAAAGAGCTCCGGTTAAATACCTGGAAAAAAACAACAACATAATATAATCCTTAAATGTCTAAAATGAACATTTTTGGAACTGTTAATTTGCAGTTTTAGGGCTATAAGGAGGAAAATTTAAAGTTACTCAAATCATCAATATAGAGCCTGGATAGACTGCATGGATGTCCAGGCTGGCCTGGCTTTATACTGTAGGGGGAGATAATAACTTAATGTTTCCAGCAAAATAAGGAGTAACTATCTATCTGTTAAACTAAGCATATACATATGTATATAGATCAGAGGACCTGTCATCAGAAGTGTCAGATTTTCTGGGAGGTAGCAGACTGGAGCATTTACTTCAAGCTCTACATCATGAGAATGACTCGGGCAGCTTCTTTAAAAAATATGTCGACAGAAGTGGCAGTAAAGTATGTGATATATAATTTATATTTAATAAAGAAAATACTCAACTCTACAATATTATTATAGTAAACATTTTGACTGTCTTACGACATACACAATGTATATATTTGTAAATTTTTTCTTGCTTTTGTTTCATAAGAATTTTTACACATAGAATATTGTATTACATCTAAAATATAATTTACCATTATCAAGATTCTTTAACCACAAAATAATAGCTTTGCTTTAATTGTATTTTATAACAATAAAGATAACAACTGTAATTTTATTATAACAGATGTGGATAAACAATTTAACCTTTTGGAGGGATGTTCAGGCATATCATATGTTATTCTATGGGAAGAACATGGACCCGTATGTTGTACATAAAAAAGCCAAGGTAAACATACCATAATTCTGTTATTACATATTGATAGTTGAAAATTATGAAATACATTATTTGCCACATAGACTTTTTTTACTAATGAGAAAATTAAGGTCGATGGGAATTCACAATTATAAGCCTATAACCCATACTTGTTATATCTAGGCTAGAACTCCAAATTTATAAAAAAAAAGAGTTGTCAAATATACCTTGCAAGTGTGTCAATTATTTTTTAAATGCTCAAAAGTTTACAAACTCAAAAATTAGTAAATGGAGGATTTAACAGTTCCTTTATTAAAAACCAAATAAATATCTTTATCTAATTGTAATATAAATTTTAGAAACATACATATGTTTACAAAATTGGTGTTCTGTTTAAATTAGCTTTTTTCAGCTTTTAGAATTTCTAGAAACCAGTAGTTTTAATAAACGTTATGTTTGACCATGTTGTTCTCCTCTCTCTCATCCGGTTCCTTATATTTTTTTTTAGCTCGACTATTCGCAGAATAATCGAGCTAATGCAGTCACCCATTTGTCGGCGTCGGCGTCGGCGTCCCTGTGGTTAAGTTTTTGTATGTAAGCTGGTATCTCTATAACTACTGAAGGGAATGGATTGAAACTTCACACACTTGTTCTCTGTGATTATCTAAGATGATTGGCACAAGTCCCATAACTCTGATTTGCTTTTTTACATAATTGTGCCCCTTTTTCGACTTAGAAATTCTTGGTTAAGTTTTTGCGTGTAAGCTGGTATCTCCATAACTACTGAAGGGAATGGATTGAAACTTCACACACTTGTTCTCTGTGATTATCTAAGATGATTGGCACAAGTCCCATAACTCTGATTTGCTTTTTTTCATAATTATGCCCCTTTTTCGACTTAGAAATTCTTGGTTAAGTTTTTGTATGTAAGCTGGTATCTCCTTAACTACTGAAGGGAATGGATTGAAACTTCACACACTTGTTCTCTGTGATTATCTAAGATGATTGGCACAAGTCCCATAACTCTGATTTGCTTTTTTTCATAATTATGCCCCTTTTTCAACTTAGAAATTCTTGGTTAAGTTTTTGTATGTAAGCTGGTATCTCCTTAACTACTGAAGGGAATGGATTGAAACTTCACACACTTGTTCTCTGTGATTATCTAAGATGATTAGCACAAGTCCCATAACTCTGATTTGCTTTTTTACATAATTGTGCCCCTTTTTCGACTTAGAAATTCTTGGTTAAGTTTTTGCGTGTAAGCTGGTATCTCCATAACTACTGAAGGGAATGGATTGAAACTTCACACACTTGTTCTCTGTGATTATCTAAGATGATTGGCACAAGTCCCATAACTCTGATTTGCTTTTTTACATAATTATGCCCCTTTTTCGACTTAGAAATTCTTGGTTAAGTTTTTGCATGTAAGCTGGTATCTCCATAACTACTGAAGGGAATTGAATGAAACTTCACACACTTGTTCTCTGTGATTATCTAAGATGATTGGCACAAGACCCATAACTCTAATTTGCTTTTTAACATAATTATGCCCCTTTTTCGACTTAGAAATTCTTGGTTAAGTTTTTGCGTGTAAGCTGGTATCTCCATTACTATTAGAGGGAATGGATTGAAACTTCACACACTTGGTCTCTGTGATTATCTAAGATGATTGGTACAAGTCCCATTACTCTGATTTGCTTTTTTGCATAATTATGCCCCTTTTTCGACTCATGAATTCTTGGTTAAGTTTTTGCATGTAAGCTTGTATCTCCATAACTACTGAAGGGAATGTATTGAAACTTGAAGAGTTTGTACCTTTTTGGACAATTTTATGTATTCATATAGGTAAGCATTATTATACTCAATGAAACACCCTTGTGACAAATTTTCGAATAGTCGAGCGTTACTGTCCTCCGACAGTTCTTGTTTGTTGTTTTTTTCAGTCAATTTTTTCAAAATACATTGTTGTTGGTGCTAGACATCATATAGGTGTAGGACATGGGGTAGAACAAGAGATACGCAGTCATCTGATTCCTCCATTTGAGGAACTATTTGATGAGGCGGAGGAACATTCTCTCACTGTCATATATGAGGCGTGGCAGGAAATGTGGGAAACAGACCAGAAAACATACAACAAGGTTTGTACATATACAAGTACATAATTATACAAGTACATGTACAAGTACATATATACATATACAAGTACATAAACTAAGGAAATGCTCAAGTTTTCACACTCTAAGAATTTGATTAATCTTATAAAATGTCCTGAGAATGTTTATGCACTTCATCTCCTTTCAAATATGGATGTCTTGTAATTTTTCAAAGAGAAAATGAAAGTTGTAAAGACAAAGTGTATAAGATAACTGTCGGAAATGTTTATTGTATTTGATGTTTTTACAATGATAAGACAAAAATAGATCATTCATTCATACATCAATAATGAAGAATAATAATCAATATAAACAACCTGCAGAATAATAAAAAAAATGTGGACATTTAAAACAGAGGTAGTTGATGTAAAAATCAACACAATTCTGGTTATAACTTTTCTAACATGGTTTTATCTTGCCAGTTTGGTATGCTTTCCAGTAAAAAATAGAAACAAAAACAAAGCAACAGCAACAAGTAATGAAAAACAATTTTAAATGATTATTTGTTTTTAGGTTGAGCTTATAGAAGTGAAGAGACATCTGGAGACAAAATCAAAATATGTCCTCAACTTACAGAAAAGTGGTCTAATTAAAGAGGTAACCATCTTGTACTGATGTTTTTATAACAATGTTTTCAAATGCATTTCTTAGATAAAGTCATTTTTATGAAAAATTTCATAAATTACAATGTATATTCCTTGAAAGTTGTAAAATAAAGAAATAAAATTTATCGACCAAGTTGTATTTATATTTTTCAAAACTAAAGGTAGGTTACTCTGACAAACAGTTGTATTTATAATACAGAGAGTTAGTACCCCTGATGTAATGGAAGGCTATGAAGACCCTGTATATGACGAGGCTCTGATTGAAAACATTCCGGAAGAATTTAAAGATTACACCTTGGAGAAGCTAGTGCATAACCGCATAGAACTAGAACATTTCCGTAACTTCCTGGCGGAGAATTATGCTAGCATGGACATAATGTGCTGGATGGATATAGAAGCTTTCCGTAGAATTACACATACTGATGAGAAAAAGAGAGATGCTAAAGCCAGAGAAATTAAAATGAAATATTTGAACAAGAAATATTTCTTTGGTGCTAACAGTCCTGCTGGCAAGGAAGGTCAAGATAAGGTCAGATATCAGCTCATTTATCTTGTTATTACATGTATTATTTATAGTGTCATATCTTGCACAAGCAGCAAGTTTCAATAAGTGTCATAACTATGAAAACTTGAAGAGCTGAGAAATTGAACAGTGTTTAGATGCCAAAGTTAATGAAATTATTCCAGCATTCACAATTTATGATATAGCCTATATTTTGGTGCTTATACATGTATAACATGGTTGCTGTCAATTATTGTAGTTAAACTAAACTACATGTACATGAATTAAAACGCAAATGCAGAAATTAATGAAAATCATAGATCTGACTTTGAAAAAAGTGAACGAAACCAGTCATCAAAACATTGTCACTGCCCTTGTTTCATTATCTAGTCTTTCTTTTTCATCTTATATATACCAGTATACATAATTTTACTATGTTTTTAAGTGTTGTGCTTTCCCCTTTTTGATAAAGTTTGTTATTAACAATTAAAATGCCAATAAAGTATTCTAAAGTTATTTCTAACGTATTATTTATGTATTGTGAAAAGGTCGCTGAAGCAGGAGGTGGCTGGGGTAAACTTCTTGAAGACCGACCACCAAATCCAATGATCCTGGAAGCACAGAAGTATGTGAGAGAAAGACTGGAAAAGAAGTGGCTTCCATTGTTTCTTGTAACCCCAGATTTTGCAGTCAGACAGAGACCTCGTCAGAGTATGGATGATGTCGTTGATGATGTCATGGTGCAAAAGAAGAGAAAATCTCTGAATATGCTTAAGGTAATTATAATGATAGGGCAAGTTCTTCTTCAAGGAAAACACCCTTTGCAGAGGTAAACTGTTTTTAATTTCGAAGGCAAACTGTTGTAATAAAAGAGATTCCACCGTCTTGGTTATTACTGAAATTAATGGTTGATTGATGTCAGTAGTTAACCCTCCTGGTCACAACAAGAATTTACAGGAAACAGTTCAGCCACCACATTGTTCTTTGGTAAGCTGTCAACCTGTTTACTAGTACTAGTTGCCTTCACTTTTGCAAGGAACTAATAACTTCTTTACATGTCAGAGCAAAGGTACAGTGTGAATGACCATAGAAAAGATTTCATGATCAATAACAATGAAAGTCACCTGCACCATCCGGGAATCAAACCTGGGTTAACTGAAATTAAGCATGAGTCACTGCCATTTATTGGGATTCATCTCAATATCTCTTATGAAATAAGGTGTTATTGTCTTGTATATGTGTAAGTTCTCTTTAAAATATTTTCTTATAAATCCTTACATAATTGTGTCTTATTTTATTTTCAGCTTTTAGATAGCAAATGGATGTCGTCTGCCAATGAAATAATTGTCTTCCGTAAAGCATTGTTGAATCCTGTCACCTCAGTACAGTTCAGGAGATTTGTCTCTATCAAGGGAGATAGCCTGGAAAATGATGTACTCTTCTGGCTGGAGGTCCAAAAGTTTAAGGTAACAAATGACTTTATGATCCAGAAATAGAATCATGAGACTAGCAGGCTCTTCATAATCATCTAATTCAAATTATTGTTAAATTCAGTAGTAAACTATTTATCTTGTACATGTAATCAGCTAAATTATTCTAAATGTTCTATATGTTTAAAACATGTTTGTATAACAGGAGATGTACCACTCTCACTGTGAGGACACTATGATAACACAGAAGATCAACACCATCATAAACTGTTTCATCGAGTCACAGATACCACCTAGTTTACAGATTGATATACCACCAGAGATGGGGGAGAGAATTGTTGACCGCAAATACGAGAAATGTCCTTATCTCTTCAGAGAAGCTCAGGTCGGTATTTTAACCTGTTACCTGCTATATTCCTATGATAGATCTGTCCAGCTTTGAATTTGAAACAGTATTCAATGTTCAAATACAAATACAAGACATTTATATAGCGCAAAAATGTATTAAATATTCGATTGCGCTGTACATTATTAAGACTATATACACATATGCTTGATCAAGACACTCCCAAACCCAGTCTCGATGGCACAGCCAATCTACAACTCTAGTTGAAAAACAGTCCAAACAAGTATGTTTTAAGTTTGGCCTTAAACTGATTTTCATTGGTAATGTCCGTCAGATAGTTTGGCAATGAATTCCACCATTTAGGTCCCACAATGGCCAAGGATCTGTCAGCAAGTTTTGAATTTGTTGATGGTATATCAAACCGAATGTGGCTAGATGATGAGGATCTCAGTCTTTTCCTGTACTGACTCTGGCATTTAGTGAATAATTTACGAAGATACAATGGAGCGGTGCCATTTGCAACACGAAACACAGTCACAATAACTTTGTACATGATTCTTGCTCGAATTGGAAGCCAGTGGAGTGATTTAAGAATTTCAGCACTGGATTGATGTTCAAGGGATTTCAATATCAAAATACAAAAGTTAATATGCTAACAGTATAGAGCCTCGGGTCAGACTGCACGGATGTACAGGCTGGCCTGGCTTTATACTGGTGTCAAAGGCTGATCACCTTTGGTTCCTGCAGGTTAAGGGTTAAATTTTTGTATCTTAAGTCTAAACCATTACCAACCTAAATATCTAAAATGAATATTTAACTTGAAAAAAAAATAAAGTGAAAATTACAGGATTTATAAAGATTTAAATTTATAGAATGAACATGTTTTCCTTGCAATTTTACTTTTTATGTTGTTTACATCCATGAATAAACAAAGGATAAACAATCTGTTTTGCATATGTTTTTTCCATTCAATTAAACAAATTTATACTACATTGAAAAAATGTTTCTTTGACTGAGGCTGACATGTATACATGTATTTAAATTATACTTGAGCAGATATAAAAGTTACATATAAGTATTTTATTTTTAGTTGGTAGTGTTTAGGGTGCTATTCCCACACTGGAGAGAGTTCTGTGATTTCCGTCTGAATCTAGCGGAAGAGAAAGTTCTACCAACAATTGAGAGACGACGCCGACATGCCAGAGCTAAGGAACGAAAACGTCAGCAGGAATTAGAAGAAAAACAGGCAAAGGTGGGTGCTTGAATTATTTTAAATTCTCAAACTTAAAAAGTGGCCTTAGAAATTAAAGTGTACGAATTTAGTACAACTAGTGTACTGTTAGATCTTATCATTGAATGGTTGATAAAACAAATGAATTTGTTGCATAATTTCTTGAGTGATTACTATGGACAATCTAGGGGCCTCATTGGATAAGTGATTAAGGTCACTGATTTCAAATTACTTGCCCCTCACCACTATGATTCAAATTCCGTTAGGATACATTCATGTGAGGAAGAAGTCCAGTTAGCTTACAGAAGACATTTGTTTCTACTCAGGTGCTTGTTTCTGCCTGAAATAATGCACAAAGGAACACTTGAGGTCTTCCTCAACCAGTGAAGCTGGAAAGTGTTCATATGACCTATACTGTGTTGGTTTGACTTAAAATCCATCAAGCAAATAAACTAAGGATGAGGTAATCTAATTTCTGGAATGGAATATTAGAGACATAGATATAAGTCTGTTTTTTACCTTTTAGAGGTTGGTAGAATTTCGTAATCCTAAATTTGTCCATAAATTAGGTTAAAGTTCTGTATTTCAGTAAACAATTATTTTAATGAACAATGTATTCTGTGTTACCTTAAAGATTGCTGCCCAGACTAGTCGTCAAAGTGTAAGCATTGAAATGTATTTCAATATTGTATATTGTCTGTTATTATATGTCTGTAACTGAATTTTAATATCACAGTTTATAAAAAATTTGTAAGGTCATATTTGGTTTTGTCACATCCCTGTCTTGTGTAAATTTATAAAAGTCTTGTTATAATATTGTGAGGGTAGACTGCTGAAATATCCTGATATTGTATATACATGTACATGTTTATGTTTCCCTCCCATCACATTTAACTTATGAGCCGTGTCACGACAAAACCAACATCCGCGCAGACTGATCAGGATCCATGCTGTTCGCTATCAGTTTCTCTACTTGTAATAGAGTTGGTAAGCGAACAGTATGGATCCTGATCAGACTGCGCGAGTGCGCAGGCTGGTCTGGATCCATGCTGGTCGCAAACACACTACATTGGTTTTGTTGAAACGCGGCTCTTATGTCTTCGACTTCCTGTCTAACTCTTACCCTGCCGCAATTGAAAGTTGATTAACCTTTGCTGCTAGTATAAAGCCAGGCCAGTTTTCACATACATGCAGTCTGACCAGGCTCTATACTGTTGCTAGTTCAATTTTATTATTATGCCCCCACTTCAAAGAAGAGGGGGTATATTGCTTTGCACTTGTCGGTCCGTCGGTCCGTAGACCAAATGGTTTCCGAGTGATATCTAAAGAACGCTTAGGCCTAGGAACTTCAAACTTGGTATGGTGATTGGTCATGACCAGCAGATGACCCCTATTGATTTTGGGGTCAAGGGGTCAAAGGTCAAGGTCACATTGACCTTGTAGGTAAAAACGGTTTCCGATCAATAACTAAAGAATGCTTAGGCCTAGGAACTTCAAACTTGGTATGGTGATTGGTCATGACCAGCAGATGACCCCTATTGATTTTGGGGTCAAAGGTCAAGGTCACATTGACCTTGTAGGTAAAAACAGTTTCCGATCAATAACTAAAGAACGCTTAGGCCTAGGAACTTCAAACTTGGTATGATGATTGGTCATGACCAGCAGATGACCCCTATTGATTTTGGGGTCAAGGGGTCAAAGGTCAAGGTCACATTGACCTTGTAGGTAAAAATGGTTTCCGATCAATAACTAAAGAACGCTTATGCCTAGGAACTTCAAACTTGGTATGGTGATTGGTCATGTCCAGCAGATGACCCCTATTGATTTTGGGGTCAAGGGGTCAAAGGTCAAGGTCACATTGACCTTGTAGGTAAAAATGGTTTCCGATCAATAACTAAAGAACGCTTATGCCTAGGAACTTCAAACTTGGTATGGTGATTGTTCATGACCAGCAGATGACCCCTATTGATTTTGGGGTCAAGGGGTCAAAAGTCAAGGTCACATTGACCTTGTAGGTAAAAACGGTTTACGATCAATAACTTAAGGATGCTTAGGCCTAGGAACTTCAAACTTGGTATGGTGATTGGACATGACCAGCAGATGACCCCTATTGATTTTGGGGTCAAGGGGTCAAAGGTCAAGGTCACATTGACCTTGTAGGTAAAAACGGTTTCCAATCAATAACTAAAGAACGCTTAGGCCTAGGAACTTCAAACTTTGTATGATGATTGGTCATGACCAGCAGATGACCCCTATTGACTTAGGGGTCAAATGTCAGGGTCACTTTGACCTTGTAGGTGAAAACAGTTTCCAATCAATAACTTAAGAACGCTTATGCCTAGAAACTTCAAACTTGGTATGATGATTGGACATGACCAGCAGATGACCCCTATTGATTTTGGGATCAAGGGTCAAAGGTCAAGGTCATGTTGACCTTGTAGGTGAAAACAGTTTCCAATCAATAACTTAAGAATGCTTAGGCCTAGGAACTTCAAACTTGGTATGATGATTGGTCATGACCAGTAGATGACCCCTATTAATTTTGTAGTCAAGGGGTCAATGTCATATTGACCTTGTACTTAATGATGGTTTGTGACCAATAACTTAACAACTCAAGTTGCTTTGGTTGATATTTTTATATTAAACTATAAATGCTTTTGGTATACACATTTGAAGGTCTAATGAGGCCTACATGATTCATAAAATTTATGCATATATTATTTGTAAGATTTGTTATAACTTAAATTGCTGCACACAACCTATGGGGTCACAATACTTATTACCTTGTGACTAGTTATGACCTGTAGAGACTACATAACCCTTATTAATTGTTTGTTCACTGGGTCAGAAGTCATGCATAATAACCTGATCATATGACTAATTGGCTGCCGATAAGGGCATACATGTTTTACAAACATATCTTGTTTGACATTGAAATCCCTTAAACATTGAATGGACTGTTCCAATTCAAAAGCAGGACAGATCCATTTCACACATTCAGCAAGCTGAAGGTTAGAGCAAACCTTGTAAAATTGTTGCATTCATTTATCAATACAAAAACATAATATTTTCATAACACCAGGCTGTCCAGCATCCCTAAAATTCCTTAAAAATCCTATTTTTTTTCAGTTTGGCTAAAATTTCTAAAAAAGTTAAAAATTAAAAGGGAATTCCTAAAAATGCCCTATTTTTTCACTTAAATTCCTATTCTTATATCTTTTGTTATAAACATACTTATAACTTTGAAAATGTTTTCATTCTAATTATGTTTTAATGCAGTTTTTTAGCTCTTAACATTGGTTTAAAGGCAGTTGATTAGTGAATGCATTTATTCACTGACGACTTTTGAACACTGGTAGACACCTTTGCTATAACTAAAGGAGAGCCCATAATTTGTTACTTTTGTGTCAAATAATTATGCAAAGGTTTAAGCCCATATCATGGTCTTTGGGGCCATAGTTTAGTTATAAAATTCTAAATTTAAGCCTGAAAATTTATATTATAGAACTAGAATTACTAATTAAAGCCCTAAACCCTTAAATATTGCCCTAAAATTTGCCCTAATTTTTTGTCAGAAGGTGCTGGACTGCTAAACAATAGAATTTTTGGATAAGACCCTTGTAGATTTTACTCATTCTAGTGAAGTATTATGAAAGATGTATTAGAATATTGCTATGTATTTTCAGCGTGAAAAGGTACCTATTTTGCATTACTTTATTAACTTTCATATAGAGCGTATTAAATTCAATTCACTCTCTGCTCATAGTGTCATTAAAAAAAAACTTCATATATAGCAGCTTTTTGCTTCTAGTTATTGATTAGAAAACAACAAATATTTGTTGCAGACCCTTTATTTAATACTTATTGGAATGGATATGATTTTGAAGAACCAGAATATTTTCAAAAGAAAAAAGATATGGTTATTTATGAAATTATAGTAAATTTTCATGTATTGTTAAAATATTTTGTAAAAAAATCTGTCTAGAAATGGTGACTTTGAAAGTAGCTGTAAAATATATCAAATAAGGAGATAAAAAAAGATGGCTATTTTTGTGTCGCCTTGAAAAGGTGACATATAGGGATTACTTTTGTCGTCGGCGGTCTCGGCGTCGGTGTCGGCGTCGTTGTCGCGTCCCCTAAAGCTTGTCTGGAGCATAACTCAGTCACTTTAAGTTGGATTGACTTCAAACTTGGTATGCATGCTTCTTTCAATAACACGAAGTGCAGTGCACAAGGACCGGTACTCTGCACTTCTTAATTTTTGAGTTATTGCCCTTTGTAAATTTTCATACTTTATTTTTGTCCTGGTCATTTCTCCTCCAGTATTAAAGCTATACACATGAAACTTCATATGATGATAGATCCCATTAAAAATAATTGCAGTGTACAAGGACCGGTACTCTGCATTTCTTATTTTTGAGTTTTCACCCTTTATATATTTTCATACTTTATTTTTGTCCCGGCCATTGAAACTTCATAGAATGATAGATCTTATTGATAAGAAGTGCAGTGCATAGAAACTGCTGCTCTGCACTTATTATTTTTTGAGTTATTGCCCTTTGTTAGTTTTCGTATTTCATTTTTGTCCTGGCCATTTCTCCTAAACTATATTGTTCACAAGGCGACACATCCGACTCGCGGAGTTCTACTGACACTGTTAATTGTATTAAACATTTTGCTATATAATTTGTATTTTTCTCTAAATCAAATCATTATCTATTAATTTTTCAATAAATATGATATAGTCACTTTGCTTTGCCTTATTATACTTCATTTAAAGATGTTAGCCTAGAAATGCTTGTATTTTATAAAAAAATCGTAGTTTAGTAAATGTAAGCTATCTAGCAAACTTACTTGAAATATTTTTATTAAACATCACTAAAGATACATAATTATGAAGAAATGATAATTGTGCTTTTATGATATCTCAAATATTGTGTTATAATAATAGCAAAGTTATGATAATTATGATACTGTCATAATTAAGATTATACAAATGTTATGATAATATCAATTTTGTGATAATTTCTGTGTAATGATAATTCAAAATTAATGATGTTTCCAATGTTATGATACTTACAGTATAATGATAATTCCAATGTAATGATATTTCCAATGTTATGATGTTTCCAATGTTATGATACTTACAGTATAATGATAATTCCAATGTAATGATATTTCGAGTGTCATGATATCCGATGTTATGATGTTTCCAATGTTATGATAATTACAGTGTAATGATTATTCCAGTGTAATGATATTTCCAATGTTATGATGTTTCCAATGTTATGATAATTACAGTGTAATGATAATCTTAGGGTTGTGATAATAACAATGTTATGATAATCATAATATGATAAATACAGTGTAATGATATTGACAGAGTTATCATTATTGCGGTATAAAAATACAGTGTTATGATTATTATGATATTGTGATAACAGAAACAAGTACTTGTTGATGTTAGATAAACTCAGTATATATAAACCAGTATTGACAATTTCTTCTAGCATAACTACAGTTATTGTCCAAATTATTTATTCACATAGGAAGTCTGTTTTAGGGAAATAAAAAACTTTTAACTTAACTTTCAAATAAAGGAGACAAGTTTAAGATACAAAGATAAAAATCTCAGGAAAATATTATGTTAGTTTATCTATCTGTATATATAGTATGCTCACATTTTCTAACAAATCTTTGCCTCTTACATTTTGTATGCTATCTTCTGCATATATTTTATACATATATTAATATTCTATGTAATTATTATATAATCATCCACCTTTGTTTATTTATTGCTTGAAATTATATTTTTTCAATTATTCAACATTTTTCAATGAATAAAACTAGTTTTATTTAATTCCTTGATAAAAATTTATCAAACACTTATTTTCGTTGAAAATTTTCTTTTATTTCAAATTATAACCTCAAAGATAGAATTAAATATAAAGTGTTTAATCACTATTTATTTGAAACTTTAGATGAAAAATAAGAATATTAAAATTTTGTATTGTTGAAAGACAAAGTGTGTTTCATGTAATGTTTTATTTCATTTATAGCCCAAGTTTAAGGTATAGCTCTTAAATTACCCCTCCTGATTTACCCATACATTTTGATGCCATATTTTCATATGTTTTTTTTTATCTTGCATGACATCCAAAGTTAAAATGTAACTTATTTTAATCATATAAAAATTGATTGATTAGTTTAACGGAGTGATTAAGAATTTATTTAATAGTTTGATTTATATGATACTTATATAGTTAATTGTATATGTAGCCATTTGACTTGAATTTAAACAAGACTATTCCAAAATATGAACATCTTATTAATGTTTGAATCAAAGGATCCTAAAAGGGGGTGGTTTGTAAAGATAAGCCACGCCCTTTCAAGATATTGGCAAAAGTCAGATTATAATTTTAATAAATGTTTGCTTTTTGTAAGATACACTTTCATACAACTAAAAATGAAATATAAAACAAACAAGATACCAGAGTAACTTCAGTAACTTTGGATGTCATTGAATTCATAATGTTGGTTGGAATTCATATGGGTTAACTTAACATAAAATAGAACATGATTTTGTTTTGGTGTTTTGGTATTTTAATTCAATTTTTTTTTCATAAATAAGATTTAATGTAGATTTTAAATGCTATACAATTTATTTAGCCCTGCATGTATAATGCATTTTTATGGTTGTGTTAATTGATAGTGTTTTAAATTTAGTTATTTTATATTTTATAGCTTACATTACATGATGCTTATAATCATTACAGGGGAAAATACGTTACTTAAAATTTCGGGTAAATTCTGGCATGATTTTGCATGGTTGACCATATTTATTCAATAATGCACATTTTCACTTCAAATATTAAAGAAAGAATACTATATATGTAAAAAATATGTAAAATAAATAAATTGCCACATTTCTGTGACAGGGAAAATTTGTGTTTGGAACATTAAAGGTAAAGCTGCTCTATTTAAAGTAGAAGTTATTAGTGGGGGGATGTTTTGCTTAAGTATTTTTATATAAGGCTGTGTCTTTGGATTGTGTCCTGTCTTTTCTGTATATTGAATGGATGAAAACCTTCAAGAAAAGCCATCACTTGTTTTGTGCATTGTGTTCTGGGTGAGCATTTAGGATAGGCTTTAATACTCTACAGTTGTATGGATTAAGATAGGAAAACCTTTAATAAAAAAAATCATCATTAAACAAATTTAAAGATGAATTATCTCCATACATAGATGATAGATTTTTTCGTTTGGAGGGAAAGATAAGTTAATGTATTTTTAGGCGACATTTAATGAAAACAAAACAAAAAGACTTTTGCATAATTACCTTTTGTGAATTCATACACTAAAAATAGTACCTTATATGGTTCTTTATCGAGTTTAAGCACATAAACTTCACAGGAGGAAACAATATGAAAAAAGAACACCCATATAGGTTTTTAGATGACAACCAATATAATTATGAACATGTATTCTGGAGAGCAATTTAAGGCTATCATGCACACTTGTTTTAAGTATCCTGGGTTGATTTACTAGTACACTGATATATGTGTAGGTTTGGAGCACCATCATATTGTTAGGTTTGGAGCACAGAATGTATCTTTAGGTTTGGAGCACAAAGAGTGGTCTGTTATTTTGGAACTTAACTGTTTCAGGGCGACATTCATTTTATATAATTATGTAGACATTTAAGTTTCATTACATTTTTTTACCCATTTATGATTATTGAAGGCACTTATAGATGAAACTTTTTTTTCATTTTAATTTTTGTATTCAGTTTATAGATCTATATTTTGTACATAACAATTGGCAGTGCTCAAGATAGAATCCAATGGACTTAAATTTGATATCAAGATGTTTTGGTGGTATATTTTATTAGTGTATATATTTGTTGAAAAACAATAGAATATGTGCATGTACACATAATTCCAAGCTTAACTCGGGTATTTAAAAAAACCTGTTTTAGGGACTGGTCAATATTATAGTATATGGGGTCCCTGGCTGGAGCACTGCTGTTAATTGTTATTTTAGATTAATTTCTTTTGAATTACATTTTGTACAATTCTGTAGGTGTGAGATACATGAATAATCATATATAAAATTATAAAAATTTTAGTACTTATTTTGAATATACTCTATAATCACCTTATGCAGTATTGAATATAAAATATAATTAAAGTAACAAAGCTTTAATCACAGTATATGGCATTTTTATGCATGGCTTCTACCTCATAATTAAACCAGTGAAAAAGTATTTATATTTTATAGAACATTTAACTTAATTTTCTTGAGAAGTTTCGAGGGTGTTTTAATTAAGATTACATGATGATAAAATTTGTATATGTTATGACAGATAGGCTTGACAGTTTTAAATGAGTAACACTGAATTCTCAAAGTTGAAACATTATAAGATTGCAAAAAAAAAGAATCATATTTATGCAATTTTTCTTTTTCACCTTACTTCTTTGATTAAAAAATACTGAGGAATTAGAGAGAGTAATGAAGACTATAGTTTGTCAAACTAAGTTGAAATGTTTACTGAAATTTTATTGGTTGTTACTTTAGGAGGCTGAGAGAAGAGCAGCTCTTGGATTACCTCCCTTAGGTGAGGAAGATGATGTGTTTCACGATCCTTTCAAAGCCCTCGGAGCTCCTGAGAGTGTTGACGGGGACGGGGAAGGGGAGGAGAAGGACAAGATTTCATGGACTTATTCTAACTATATGAATGCTTTAGAGAGGGAAGAACTGATCAATAATACTGATGAATCATCCTTCACATCACTACTTACTGATACAGGTAAACATGTAGGGGAAACATTGTTTACATCATTACTTACTGATACAGGTAAACATGTAGGGGAATCATTATGTTTACATCATTACTTACTGATACAGGTAAACAAGTAGGGGAAACATTGTTTACATTATTACTTACTGATACAGGTAAACAAGTAGGGGAAACATTGTTTACATCATTACTTACTGATACAGGTAAACATGTAGGGGAAGCATTGTTTACATCATTACTTACTGATACAGGTAAACAAGTAGGGGAAACATTGTTTACATTATTACTTACTGATACAGGTAAACATGTAGGGGAAGCATTGTTTACATCATTACATATATGTACTTACTGATACAGGTAAACAAGTAGGGGAATTGTTGTTTACATCATTACTGATGCAGGTAAACATGTAGGGGTATGATCATTCACATCATTACTTACTGATACAGGTAAACATGTAGGGGAATCATAAAGTTAACATCATTACTTACTGATACAGGTAAACATGTAGGGGAATCATTGTTAACATCATAATTTACTGATACAGGTAAACATGTAGGGGAATCATAATGTTAACATCATTACTTACTGATACAGGTAAATATATAGGGGAATCATTGTTAACATCATAATTTACTGATACAGGTAAACATGTAGGGGAATCATAATGTTAACATCACTACTTACTGATACAGGCAAACATGTAGCCTGTGTATCATTGTTTACATCATTACTTACTGATACAGGTAAACATGTAGGGGAATCATTGTTTACCTTATTAGTCTTTGACACAGGTAATCATGTAGGGGTATCATTGTTTACATCATTAATTACTGATACAGGTGAACATGTAGGGAAATCATTGTTTACATTATTACTTACTGATACAGATAAACATGGGGAGAATCATTGTTTACCTTATTACTTTCTGACACAGGAAAACATGTAAGGCATCATTGTTCTCATCATTACTTACTGATACAGGTACACATTTAGGGGAATCATTGTTTACATCACTACTTACTGATACAGGTAAACATGTATGGGAATCATTGTTTACATCACTACTTACTGATACAGGTAAACATGTATGGGAATCATTGTTTACATCACTACTTACTGATACAGGTAAACATGTAGGGGAATCATCCTTTATGTCATTACTGACTGATACAGATAAATATTAAGGAAATCATTTGCATCACTACTTACAGATACAGGTAAACATACAGGAGAATCATTGTTTACATCACTACTTACTGATACAGGTAAACATTTAGGGGAATCATCATTTACATCATTACTAACTGATACAGGGTAAACTTTTAGGGGAAACATTTTTTACATCATTACTTACTGATACAGGTAAACATGTAGGGAAAAAATTTACATCATTACTTACTGATATGCATGTAGGTAAACATACATCAGTGTGTACTTAATTACTTAATGATACAGGTAAACTTGTAAGTGAAACATTGTTAAAAATCATTATTTACTGAAGGGGTGTCATCATTTACATCATTATGGATACAAGTGATAATTCTGATGACTTAACATTTGCCTTTTAACACTCAACACATTGATGACAGTTTAGACCATTCATGCTCTTTAATATCCTAAAGATTTTTTGCAATATCCAAAGTTTGTGCTATTACCAATGACATCTTCATTGTCAAGTTATAAATGACACTAAAGGAACATCCAAGAACTATACAGTCACACTTTGGCAATAAGATATTTAAACATAAAGATTATTTGACAGTATGGTTATAGCTAAAATTCTGACTCCTGAATAGAATGCTGTGTTGAAGAATGTTTTGATCAACAAATAAATAAAGTTGTATGACTTATTGATGCTTTGATTACTGTCACATTATCAAGTTTAACATCTTATACCTCTGCCTCCAAGGTAAATACTGTGATATCACAAACACTTATCTTAATAGAAGCTTTAATTGAGTGGATATTATTGTTTTATCTCCTGTATCATATATATATAATAAAACAGTAAATCTGTAAGAATAAAAGTGGAACATTCATATTTGTAGCTTCAGTAAAGAGTGTTGGTACGGCCTCAGTTGGGAGTCAATCAGATGAGAGGAAGGGAAGTAAAGCTGACGATGACTCGGACAGGAAGTATGAACTGTTATTTCCAACCAATAAATAATACACTTTGCATGTAAAGCCTTGCCATTAGATATATATATAAGATTTATAAGTTGCCATGGTAATGGGGTTTGATTTATGACAATTATGGTAAATTGAATTCAAATTTCTAACATGGGTTCTGCTTTGTGTTTGTAATTTAAAGTAACTCTATGAATAATTATTTTGTAAAAACTAAACTTATTTATTACCTAAAATTTGTTTATATGTATGAATTTCATTAAATCACTAAAACATTTCAAAATATTGGTGATTTTGTATTTTCAGGAGATCTGTTGATAATGGAGAAAATGGTATGTTATCATTTGTTATTTTATATTGAATTAAAATGCATGATTATGTAATACTGTAATTTAACTTACAATGTTAGGTTTATTGTGATAACACTGGTCTGAAAGGGTGTAAAGCTAAAATTTGCTAAGTGCATGTGTATAAAAACAATTTTAAAAGCTGCTTAATCATGTTTATATCTTGATATTCTTATGGTCATATCTAGAGAGGATTTTACTAAAAAAATTTAGCCAAAAATGTCTGTTATTAAATTCATATGAAATTTAACAAAAGAGAATTATAAACATAAAATGCAACAATGGAAACGTTTAATATGTACTTTGTTCTTGCGTTGCCTGTAAAGAGACATTAGCATTCAGCCCTAATGGAATTAAGCTAAAGGTATTGAATATAGAGCTCTAGAGTATGTGGCTATTTTGCAAATTATAATAGACTTATATGTACCTTAATGTATATTTAACCAAAAAATAATTGTAAGTAAGTAAATAGGAAAAATATATATAACAAATTACAACACTCGGCCACATTGGCCCTTTTAGTTACTTTAAACAAAATACAATTCATAAATATGACTTATAATAAATTCAATAGAAAACCTCTAAAGCATAGAAAAAAAAATCGAAAATATAGTGCTCAATTTTTAAAATTTCATATACAAAGTATTATATATACAAGCAAAGCATATCAAAAAGTCAAGGTCAGAAATTGTTTACAATTGTAATTAGATACAAAATGATTATAATTGTAATTAATTACAAAAAAAAAATTATATTTAAAATTTATTTGACTTGATGTGATTGTAATTAATTACATTCACATGTAATTGACCCTATCCCTTATTAAGATCGATAGTCTTAATGCATTATATGGTTCTAATTGATATTTATTTTGTGTGTGAGATAAATGATTTTGCAGCTAGATTTTGATAGTATATTTAGGTTAAGACTAGTCCATTTTGCGGCTAAAATATTTCAATATTTGGCGATAGCTTGTTAGTAAAACTATATCAATTATATTCAGGTAGATTTATGTTAGAAAAATTATATTGATTATATTTCAGGAAAGGCTAAGGGACCAGGAAATGGTAGTAGAAAGTCATCAATAGATGTGCCGATGGTCGGAGAACGACGTATGTCCCGCCAGTCTAGATCTGACAGCATCCAATCACAGCACAGAGTTACTATACAAGATCCAAAATCTACAAATAATAAAGTGAAACCAAAAGTTTAGACTTGAGCGATAAAAACACTTAAGTAATTTTTTTGGAATATCATATAATTATAACATTGTGGTTCTTCAGTTGAGTCAATTCTCAGTATTTTATGAGTTATTTATAGTAGCGATATATTATCAATATATTTTAAATGTATAATTATAGTTTAAGCTTTTGCTTCCAAATTGTATGTTTTTTAGTTGATAGGTTGACTAAAAAGTGATATGATTTTTTTTTAATCAGAACTTGAAGTCAGTTCTGCTCTATATTTAATGGCATTATGATTTTTTCTATGCTTAAATAATACACTTTTTGCAACAGTGTCGGAGTTGAATATTTTAATGAATTTATATCAAATTATATGCTAATGGATTGTTGGGACTTATTTTCTTAGAAATTTTGTAAGTTAAATTATTACCTAAAAATAAGCAGTGTTATAATTGATAATACAGCTGGAATACGTTTTGAATATAGAAAGTACAAATTATGAAGTGAATATTATAAATGTGATTTCTATATGTAAAATTGTGATATGTATAAAAGTGTAAGGTTAATTCATGATTTTAAGTTTTATATAAATTTTCTTTGTACTTTGTCAACTCAGTTAACTTAAAATATACAATAATCATTTTTTTAAATATTTAGTTTTACCTCTTATACTACATAAACACCATTTAATATGTTATAATTCTTATTTTTGAAGCATTATAATGTAGAAGTCTGTCTATGGGTTTTTATTTCATGGAAATTTTTGTTGATACCATATGGATAATGAATTTTTGCATATTTGCTTAGTACTTAATTTCTGTACCGTTTATTCAGAGTTCTGTGTTTTATGATTATATGAAAGGTATTTTACATATAAGAAAGTGTCACTTATTATGTAAACTTCTTCAAGACTATGTAACATAATGAAATTAGTCCGTCCTCCAAATCTATTATTCTAGTTTTTATTTTACTGTTATGATATTGATTTATAATATAACATATACGTGTAAATTTATGGAATGAACAGCTTATTAATAGCATTATAAAGCCAGTTTTGATAGGATATACTTTTTTCCATGGGCAGTTAATACCTAGTTATACTATTGCGATATTTATCTTACCATCACACTGTCTTAAAAAAAATACATGCCTACTTCAATGTGAGTGAAACATGAAAATTTTGTAGTTACTCATAGATAATGATTGTAATCTTAGGACTGCTTTACTTTTATCAAATAGGATTTCATTTTAGTATAAATATAACTGCCTTTGATCACTGTGTGACCTCAGATTCGGTCACCATTGTTACATGTCTGGCTACCAAATAAGAACCATGCACTGTATTGATGACCACGTTATAAGTAAGAATATTTAAGTTATTTTTTATTATGTTTGCATACAGCTTATTTTTAATTTGTAAGTCATTTTTTATTTGTAGTCCAATTTAATTTAACCTCCATTTCAGTTTAAATGATTTTATACATATAATGTAGTTTTCATATTTAGATGTTTGTATATTACATGATGAATATATGTAAACGGTGAATTATATGTTGTTTTTTTATTTTTATGGCATATTTGTGTCAAAGCAATCTGTGATATGGAATTATGTTATAGGAACTATGTTATATTGTAATCTTGGTATTTATTCTAATTAGGTTAAATCATACTGTAATTAACCTTTCTGCACTAGAATAATGAAACACATGTATAAGTTATTTTGACTAATTTATTGATGGGTCAAACAAATAATTGTACATTATTATCATTATTTTAGATTCATTATTTTAATTTTTGATGCCAAAATAATTTAGTATGTAATGGCATTTTACACACAAATTTACAATATCATATCTATGTACATGACTAAATTTTTATAAAATACCTTTGATCTGTTCCAACAAATTGAGGATTTTTGGGAAGTCATATTTTGTGAGATTCTGAAATAGTATAATGAAGACAAGCAATATTATAATGTTCAGTTGTTTTTTTTAAGTGAATTGGTCTATAATGGAAAGTCATTAAATAATGACGTTGATAATATATAGTATCATAGGCTTAACAACAAACCACGAAATAAATATATATGGATGTTGCTAGCAAGTGTGAGATACATGATCTGAAATTACACATTTTTATAGCTTATAATAGCATGTTCTCTAGAACAAAATTATAGTATTATTTTTCATCATATAAATGTTCATACTAAATAACTTAAAACTCTTATCATTGCCATTTTTCCTAGCAAGACTTTATAAGACTATCTGAATGATACATTTCCTTTGTTTTTATCTGTATTTGAAATATTTATGGAAAATGTGCCCATTGTAGACCTATCCACTTAAACATTTTGTTCTATATTAGAATTGGTGCCAGTTTTTTACTGAAAAAAAGAAAGATTTTCCTTTGCACAATTAATTGATTTAAATCTTTCAAATATAAAACCAAAACTATTGTATTTTTCATGGGCTTTTTGTAATACCTGTATTTGATATTTTGCTTTGTGAGAAATGTTAGAATTATGAATAAAATGATAGGATGATACATGTTTATGTATAAATTAGGGATCATTTGTTAACTACATTATTTTGATTATATCTTTCATTGTTAATTTATAGTGATAAAGTTGACTTGAAAAATCGTCATTTGTCTTTGTTGTCTCTTGACATATGTTAATGTAAGGTCAACAGTAGCAATTTAACCTTCAACCCCATGAAGAGGTGAAAGTTATTTGTCCAGCTTTGAATTTGGAACAGTCCGTTTAAAATTCACGGATATCAGTATCAAAATACAAAACTGTATGGATGTGCAGCCTTGCTTTGCTCTATACTGGTGGCAAAGGCTAATCACTTTTGGTTCCAGAAGTCTATGGTTTAAATATGCCGTCATTTATTACATGCTTTTCGGTGGTTTATAGAAATATATCAGTGATAGAAAACTGGTAATTTCACTGTTTGAAACAGTGAAATTACCACTTTGATAATTTCACTGTTTTAAATTTAAGCCCCTTACGTTGTTTCAGTGAAATACCAGCGTGCACAGTACTGGATACCAACTTAATGACGTGTCGTAAATGACGTCACGTTGTATAATTATTTGGCGCGCTTTTCATTCAGTATTAGATTTAATGTCTTTTTAAAACGTTTATTTGCATATAATAAAAAGAAAATTTGTTTAGTTTAGTGTAAGATCGAAATATATTTCACCGAGTGAGCACCAAAAGGTATATTTCACGAGTGGCGCAGCCACGAGTGAAATATGAACTTTTGGTGTTCACACTTCAATCTGACCATTTTCCGATCTAAATCTTAACCATTTTCTGCCCTAAATCTGACCATTTTCTGACTTTAATCTGATCATTTCCCTAATCTTTCTTGTTTTACCATGTTATAAATATTTTCTGGCCAATCCTGATTTGATCAAATTTAATGTAACTCATTCTATTAAGTAACTTTCACTCCAATGAAATGTTTAACAAAAAAACTAAAAGCAAAAATATGTTTTATGGTTTTTTTTATTTAAAACAAAAAGTTGATATTTAAAGCTGATACATATAGTTTTAGTAAATTCTGCAAGGCTAAATACGTTTCATAAATTAAAAAATAAGTTAATAACAAAACAAAAAGCATTACAAAACCAATGACATAAATGAAGCTAAGAAAACATATACAAATATTAAAGAACAAAACAATGTATGTACATTTTTATCAAAGTTTGCCTTATCAAACGAAATAATGAAAATATTATAATTTTAAGAAAAGTTAAATGATTCGGATAATAATGTTTCAAGCAATATTATTAATGACAGATTTTCAGTATTTTAACTATATTTCTATAGCATTACTAAAACATTTTAGTGCTATTTTTCATATTTTGACCTCATTTTGATAATTGTCACTAAAGTATAAATTACTTCCTTTTAGTTACTTCACAATGTTATACTTTTATATATCCACGAGAATAAGCATGAATTTGGAGGTGTGATGCTTTTAGATATATGATCTTCTCTCACCACCCCTCGTCTGTCCGGGGGATATGTAATTGTCCAATGGCGTTTGTGATATAATTTTCACTGAAAAAAAAAAGATTTATGAAAATTGGAAAAATAACAAGCAAAAATGTTTTTCCTGGTTATCTGCCCTTTAGAAATTTTGAAAGTTATCTTACATACTTTGCTAGCTTTTTAGAGGTGAGCTTTAACAAAAATTAAAAGTAAACATACGTAAATACTGAAAATTTAAAAGACCGCTTTAAAACTACAGTTTTGTATGGATTATAATAAGTAATAGAATTTACAAAAATCTTTACTTTCCCATGTTTCTTTTTACATTATCACGTATTTCTGTCCCTCCGACCTTTGAGAGCATGTCTAACACTTGAACTGCCTGAAAAGAAAATTATACTATAATTGAAATAGAACAGTTACGCAAGTCTTAAATTTTTCATAGTTTCAAATTAAAGATTGTTAAGAAATTGTTGATAATAGATGTATGTTTATGTACTACGTTTTGTTAAAAAGTTTATATTCTGTTTTGATCGTTTTGATTACATATTTCCTACTAATGACTAAATGAAGCCTCATTCTGTATTACAAGATCATAATTAGATAATCAATCAATTCGCTCTTTCATTTATTTCCCGTTTTTTTATTAGAATGATATTAAAATCTGGTGTAAAACACATTAAGGTAAGATTTATTCTGATAAAAAGTTGAGCAGATTGGGAAAATGCCGAAATGTCTGGGACCAAAACGCTCGAAATCGTATAAATTCATTCTCAATACTCATATTTTAACTGACAAAAACATCACAGTTTAACAAGAATATGAAGAAAAAAAACTAAGCATTCTCTTTGGTAGTACTGAAAGGCACATAATAAACTCTACACCAGCAGAGTTAAAACATGCCAAATTTGAAATGATTTATTATCAAACATTATCGCGAATTTGTGTGACATTTTGCTTCAACTGTTCAAATAATGATAATTAAATTAAAGAATGCTTGCAATCATGCAATTATTTATTAAATACAAAGTAGAAATAAATTAAAATAAATTGAACTGATTTTTTTGCTCATGAAAATCTGGAATATTCACTTTATCATTTCTGACTGTACGAAACGTACGAAAAGCCTACGAATTTGAATTTTCAATCCACGTGGCTGTGGATTCGAATTATAATTATGTTTTCTTTCTTATTTCTGTCACTATGGCACTATTAAAACTCGGGATTTTGATACATATAATGTACCACAAATGATAATATTATAACGTTAAATGATTGGAACTCGTAAACAGACCTGTGGCTATAAAGAGATTTCATAACAATAACACATGTAACTTGCCTATATACAGCGCCACCTATATGTTTTATTAGGTTGCAGCGCCGCTAACTTGGTCTTCGAAAGGCACTTGAATATATATATATATATACATTCCTCCATTTACGGGGCATCGGTCTATTTAAGACCATACTTGTGGGGTTTATATTTAATGTGGGGCATACATACGTATGGGGGCGTAGGCTACCCTTCTAAAATAGTGTCCGTAAGCCGGTTTTAATAGTTAATGCTATATGTCCCACAAATGTATATATTTTTAATGGGGTTTTATGTTATTTTATGCCACTATGTAGGCATATAATGAACATTTCCAAACAACAGAACTAAGGGGTACTAAGTTATATATATCAACTATTTATCTAATGTTACAATAGGTGAAAACATATTGACAATTAAGAAACATAAAACCCCATTAGTTTATTCATGATGTGTTTCTCAGCTTATACATGGAATATATTAGAATATTTTATGACTTTTCACTGTCAAATATTTTATTAGACTACTAGGATGTTGAAAATATTAAAATGGACAAATGAAACATTTTGGGAGAAAAGTAAAACCTAAATGAGCCGCGTCACGACAAAACCAACGTAATGCGTTTGCGACCAGCGTGGATCCAGACCAGCCTGCGCATCCGCACAGTCTGACCAGGATCCATGAGGTTCGCTGACAAACCCTATTACAAGTAGAGAAACTGATAGCGAACAGCATGGGGATCCTGATCAGACTGCGCGGATGCGCAGGCTGGTCTGGATCCATGCTGGTCGCAAACCCATTATGTTGGTTTTGTCGTGACGCGGCTCAAATAATTCTCTTATCATTTATCCGTTTTTACCATCGTCACAAATGTCAAAAGTGATATCAATCAGCACTTTTAGCAAAAATACGTATAATTACGTACAATTATACGAAATTAAAGGCCCGGTATGCAAAAAACGTATATACGAATATTTCTGATGTTTGTTTTGGTTTACTGTTACAGTTTCTAAATCATTACTTAGTTTGTCCTATACCTGAACCATCCTTTGATTCTTTTGCATTAAGGAACTTTTCACAGTTGATATTGATTATTTTGTAAGGAAGTCAAAATACCACTTTGTTTAGATATGACTAGTTTTATGACAGATTACTTCGCATTCATTGCTACTTTCTTCACGTGATAATCGTCTATTATACTCTAAATTCATTATCAAAATGGTATAAAAACATGTATGCCCTTTCTGAAGAAGAGTAAATGTATTAATTTTTGATGGTTAATAATGTGCATTTAAGACTGGAAATACCAAATATAAATATTTGATAAATGAGTCCAAGTTTTAAATGTTAGCAGACTGTTAACATATTATTACATAATTATCAAATCTACTTTCAGCGAGTATATATAAATGCTTAATCACGACAGTGCTCCTAAAATGTGCTTGAGAACTGTGAAAAATAACAATATTTTGTCTTTTAGTAAGGATTTGTTCTAGTATTTGTCAGTAACAAAAGTTGATAATATAATAGTAAATAAATGAAAAAGAAATTATACCGTTTTTGTGATTCCAAATTAACTTTTTATCAGACCAGATTCAATATCGAAAGTTGGGAAAAAATATACAACATACTAACAACATGTTGAAGTAGTGAATTATCAATTTGGAAAATCTATTTTATCAACGTTGAGAAATGTGGAAAATTTTACATGGTCACACTAACTTTAAAGAAAGTTTAAAGGTACTCCACTGAGGTACGGCCGAATGTCACAAAAAAAAGTAAAATTTCACGAACCGATAATTTTTTGTTACCTGCGTGTTAGGGACATTCAAACAGAATCAGTGATACATTGATATGTGTTCTTTGGATTGGCAAGTCGTTTGAAATACATATTTTCTCCAATTTTGTGGGAAAAGCGTTTAAACACCTTTCAGTTTGCAAATCTGAATAAAAACAACGGTCACGTGATGATTCTCGGGATGACTAAAAAGCGAAACGGAGAATTTTTTGTGTATCGGCAGCAACGAAAGTGCGAAAGTGGGATATACCAACAATCCATAAATTTAAAAGCAAATTTTGGGTTTGTTTGTTAAATTTCTTGTTGTTCACATATGTTCTTGTGAGAAAAATCTTTCAAAAGCAATTTCAATATATTTAAAGCATTACATTGTTGTAATCATGTCTTTTTCTCCATTACAATGATGAATTTAGCTAAACGTACGGAGTTGAAAACTGACATACACAAATTTTACAAATATTCTATGTTAATTTGAGAGCTTTCGTGTAATTATTAAATAATATGTATTAACTTTGTAATGGTTAAAATAT